AGAAGAACAGACACATGTGTTGAAATGGCTTTAAGTAATAGCTTTCAATATCAAATATGAACAATGCTTCTATGAATGAACGACAGAAGAGAGAAGCATACGAAGCCTCCTCGTGCAAAGTACGTAGCCAGAAAAACTGAAACTGGCACTTATGTGAAGAACTCGCAATGAACTACCATCCAAAAACTATCTAAGGGATCAAACACCTCAAACTTTGTCATTTGTTTTAGTATTTGCTACCTTGGCAATGTCGCAGTTACGGGAACCGTTCGTCACTTTTGGAACCTGCACCATAGAAGAGAATATCTGCTTTCTATCCTGTGATCTTGGCATAGAATAATGGAGCTTCCTCTTGTAAGAAGGAAAGTAATGTAAGTTTATTTGCTTGAAAACCAGACTTGTGTCGTCCATAACCGCTTCTACTTTTGGGTCACGGAGGCAGGCGCATCAGACAGTGCTTCCGACATTCTCGAGTCTCTGAATGATTAGAAGAGCGGAAAGTCTGAGCTTCAGCAGAATGCAACCGGAGTCTAGAGCCATCTCCTTCCGTATATTTACGTCAGGTTGGTTTTGGCCACCCCTGATCCTGTTGTCGGTCGGCTGGACAATAAGTACGTGATCCGCGTTCCTTTCTGGAGGCATTGGCAACATGTGCCCAGAAGAGGGGCATTTTTCAGTATTATTGTAGACACGAACAAATCACTGAAAATGTTTAAGCTCCATGTTTGATAGTCAGTTTGAGGTTGGAAAAGAAAGCGATTTCGATGCAAGATCTTTGATAAGAAAGACGACAATTTTGTTTTGGAAGAAAGCTGAATAAACTCAGAAGCATGTGTACTGTAATATCTCACAGTGTTACACGAAATAACGGCTTGCCTGCGGACTGTCTCAAAATCCACGTCAAGTGGCAAACTTGTAGTTCATATCCGCCTAGGATTCAACTGCAAATTTTGATTGATGCTTTACCAAAGCTGAACATTCAAGCAAAATAGTAGCAGCGTACCTGCACACGGCTTTCGACCAAGTCCAGACGCAAGGCAAGCGCTTCTCTCATGAACACGTCCGGGTAGTGGCTGGACTCGAAAGCGTTCTCCAGCTGTTCCAGCTGCCAGTTGGTGAAGTTGGTCCGCGTTCGGCGTCGTTTTGCGGTGGAATAGTTGCTGGCAACGACGGAGCTTTCCATTGAATTACCTAAAGTCAAAATTGTTTCACGACGGTGCTCGATCGATCGCTTGTCTTAGAGGGGGCTTACCTGAGCTTACGGCGTTTTCAGCCACTTCCGTCACTTTGTCGTGCAAATTTCGTTGACACTGTGCAATGAACCACTGGTTGTACGCCTTCAGAATGTTCTGATTAACACCCAGTGAAACGGC